GTGTGTGTGTGTGTGTGTGTGTGTGTGTGTGTGTGTGTGTGTGTGTGTGTGTGTGTTGGTGTGGTGTGTGTGTGTGTGATGTGTGTGTGTGGTGTGGTGTGTGTGTGTGTGTGTGTGGTGTGTGTGTGTGTGATGTCAACGCGTCGATCGTTCCTTCACGTCATGTATTAGGCTATTTGACGCGTAATGAGGGATCTGATGCATTAATTTACATTTACTGTTTTTTTTGAAGTTTCCTTTTTTGCTTTGTCCGGAGGTGAATAAAGAAACCTTGTCTTGTGAGTTTTGTTGGGTAATTCCTAGAGAAAAAACATCATGAAACCGAAACGTAATCCCGAGGTAACTGAACATTCTCTAACGGGCAAAAAATAGTTAAAATTAAAACTGATCAAAAATCGAATAAATTAACTACACAAAAAAGACGTGGAGTAAAACCTGAGAAGTTCGTGAAACCGAAAAGTAGGAATCATAATATAACCTATAATAGATTTTAATTTTCTTTTACCACATTTCCGGCTACACTGAAAGGGTAGTCCTCGGAGTTTGTAATTGTAGATCAAAGCGTGTAAGTAAAAACATGATAACATGACACGATTCACTATAGTATTAAATGAATTAGAACAGCAGAACATCAGTACGGTTGTTATTCACGTCAATTGTGACTTTTTTCTGGTCTTTGCTGTCCTTGGACGTTTTGTAATTAGAAATTTATTTGGGAAAAATCCACGAGAGACCACCAATCGCAGTTTCTGTTCACGATGTATGCCCTCCTCTCCAACTAAACCGGATAACCATACTAAATACGTTAATATACGGTCTACTCTTAGTTCGTTTACCCAAAACAATTTATACACAGAATACACGAGCGCAAGTCCTCCCTTCCCTTCGAAATTTACCTTCTGATTTACTCCTCAGAGCACTTTTCTAAGTTATACCCTATGAAATTAATTTTTTCCGCGCCATCACAATGTCTGTCTTTAACAGTGCCGTCTTCTTGTCGCACACTAGACCGAGAGCGCTCGTTCTCTTCTCTCTCTTAGGGAGCAAAGCCACGGCGAATATCCAGAGGAGACGACCGAAGGAGGCGGTCGGCCGGCGGGAGCGGAACATTACAGGCAACAACGTCAATTTGTCTCCTAACCATGAAAGTGGAAGTGTATACGAGTAATACGACATCACACCACCGCACACACACTGCCACGTACAACAAATCCACCATTGTGCGGAAAAGGGAGTATAAGAGGAAATGTAGTGAAACGTACATTTGCTTAACGTAGATTTGCGACATTAGTTATTGAGATTTTGTATGGTCTTGTTTACGAAGTGCCGACCAAGACCAAAGGGCCAAGGAAGGCCTACAAAGGGTGTACGTGAGAGCGACATTGTTGTTATCACATAAGTTTATTTGACTCATGGAAGTAAATTATAAGTCGTACCATCTAGAGCTGTAAAGATATCTACCAAAACATCACCCATATTTAGTCATTCCAAAGCGCCAACAGTGGCGTGAGGTGCAAGTAAAGCGATGAGTTAAGTGGAGAAATCTTTTTGCAATATAATCAGGTGTACGATTTACGATTGGCATCTACATTCCTAAAAGTCTTATTTTCGAATTCGCGAACCGTGGTTCTTAAAGACCAAAAGTCATAATTTCTCGTAAATTGAACTGTCATAGAAATTGATTGTACAACTATTGGTAGTTTTGTACTAAATATTTAAAGATTGTCAAAAGGTTAGACATTTCCTTCTGAAGGACAACACAACTAGTTAGAGACTCACAATAATTCTCCCCAATATACGAATTTCTAGTCACCCTCATACCATACAAGCGACAGACGACTTTATTACTAAGGCACATGAGGACATCCTTTATGTATTTGGAGAGAACGAGGACCCAACCTAGGACATACAACTGAGATTTCCTGTTTGGTGTGTTCCGGTCAAACCCCACTTCCATTCCCTAGACGACCACCATCAGATTCTCACACATGCATTACGTACACAACAGCATTTGCTACACACAACCACAGTGATCTCTTGTTATGCATCACAATATGTGACACTCTCTTACGTTGTCGGCGGCGTTATGTCTTAATCTATGCCCCAGTCTCCGCCTCTGGCTCGGCATTATCTTTGTCTTTGCTGTGTGTGCGTTTGTGTGTCGTGTGTGTGTATGATAACATTTGACTTGTCAATTGTTTAGTGGTTAGTGTAACTACTCTCGGGCACTGCCACCATACGTAGCTATGACCAGTTTGTTAGTAAAAGATGACATGGTACCTATAGTTACACGTACAGAATCATTCACATACAATGCATCGTGGTCGAACTCTAGAGACGTGACCTCCTTTACTCTGATCACGGGTTTGTGTCTGTTAATAGAATTTGTAATAATTTTGCGGCACAACGTATTCTGCGTCCGAATACCGGATGTCCTTTATCTTATCGGTGTGTTGTTGTGTGTGTATGTGTGTGTGTGTGTGTGTGTGTGTGTGTGTGTGTGTGTGTGTGATGAAAGAAAAGGCCTTGTATGCAGAGTGATTAAAGTCACACAAAGCCTGACATTTGCGGCCCTAGAACGCATCGGTAATCACACAGAAACACACGCTAATAATTGACTAGTTGTCTCGGACCAGCACAGGTCTAATCAACTGGATTGATTAGACCTGTGTGTGTGTGTGTGTGTGTGTGTGTGTGTGTGTGTGTGTGTGTGTGTGTGTGTGTCTCTGATACCAATTATCACGCAGAAACCCTCCAGAGTATCAGAGGGATAATGGGTTGCACGAGACTCAGATATGTTAGTTCTTAAAAAGCACCAACACTTCCTACATCCCTTCTACGTCCTCTTTCTCTTGCGCCCTCCTTTATTATTCATCTTACCATCTGCCATTTTGACACTTAAGTTTGGCAGGAAGTTCCTTGGACTCCGTCGAGGCTCTGGTGGTGTTGTTTGTCCTTTTCCACAGAGGGGAAAAGCATCTGCTCATCAGTGAGGTATTTGTGCCAAAGAGTAAACAGAACCTGAGCTGAGAAAAACCCACGATACTCCCACAAGAAGCAGCAGCTACGAGCAGAGAGTTCACACTTATGTGTCTTCTTTAATTCTGTTTGTTCCAATGAACAGTTGTATTATTCAACACTGGAGGTCATGGATCATTCTCACATACAGGATACAGATATACTGCTTAGCCCTTGTTCGTCCTTAAAGTCTTTACAAAAAGTCTTCTCCTACCGAAAATGGCGCATACAGATCTGACATTTATTTTGAAAGACCTTTACAATATGATCTGTTCAGGTTTGACTTTACGTATGGGTTCAAGTAAGCGTAGTCTTTTAGTTGTATTCTGCAAAGTATTGACAACATTTCCACCGAAAAGTCTTTAAATAATGAAAAGAAAATAACTTCATATTTATTTTTGAATGCCACAATACTAATGTTTAAAGGGAGGAGTAGTTTGGTGATCTATATGGTGGAATAACCCCGATGTACAGCTTTCAGGTGTGTTGGCATCCTCAAGTAAAAAAGACAAACAAATAATCAATTGTTAATAATAATCTAAGACATATAAGAAAACATTACGAAATATATAAAACATTTTATGAACTTTAAGTTAAAGAACTGCCACAGGGAAACAATCTCGACAGCTACTGTTTGCTAAGCGTTTTGGAATTATAACATTGTCCTGTATGTTTTGTCTGATGTCTAAAAACAACCAGAACAACACTTACGTCCACACAGCAGCTTTAAAAAAATCTTCCAACGCTTCTCTGCCCATTGACTCTGAATGGGAGTGACGTCACTTTGCCTCGCTTTTCGCCGAACTGCATTGTGGGGAAGCGAAGCGAAGATTTACAGGATTTTCAGGATTCAAAAGTTGAGCAATGTTCAACTTTTGAAGCTGAGCTGGAAGCGTCAGCCAATCAAATCCCGTTTATGCAAATCTGACTGTACAAGCGCTAGCCAATCAAACCACGTGTAAGCCGGGAGAGACATACCGCAGTTCATTTCCTCATATTCCAAACGAGAAATTACGGTAGCAAATCACCCGATTCTTTACGACTAGTAACTATTTACCAGGATACAAACTGGAGGAAGCAGGCATGGAGGAAGGTGGCGGAGACAGTGGGTGAAACTGGTAGGTTTTCGCCTGTTTGGAGAGTTTATATATATATATATTGCTCGCATAAAATCCCCGGGGTTTTTTGCTTTGTATGTCGGGGGCGGGAGATTCATGTGATTGGTTGTTGGTCGCGTTACTCGCAAAAAAATCCCCAAGCTTTCAGACACGCCCAACTCCAAGATTTTCAAGATTTTTTTAACGCTGCTGTGTGGACGGGCCGTAACGGAAACGCAGCATAAAGTGAGCCTGGCCTACCAAGGCCTAACTATACCGTACTAAGCCGTGCGAGGCCCTGCTGTGGAAATGCGCCATAAGATGCCAAATGGCTTGACAGATATTAGTAAATGCAGTGATTTATTGTGAGGATCTTCCTCATCCTTTCATTCATCTCCTGACTGAACGCAAGCTAAAGTACTTAATGCATTTTTCTTTTTGCTTTGAGAGGCAAATGTATCATTCCAAAACAGTGAATTAGTTGTTCAAATGTTCCTTATTCTTTCCATTTAGGAACAAAATCCTTTTCTTCTATGCGATATGAAGGATGTGAACACATTCCTGGCAGGAAAAGGGTATTCTCTCAGCATGTAAGGGGTTTCTAAAATGATGTTTCTGCTCTATATAAATGGCAAAAAGCTGCTTAAAGGAAGTGAATTTGAGAGAAATTGCTTTTATTTACAAAGATGCAAAGTGACTTGACAGATATTAGTAAATGCAGTGATTTATTGACTCAGTGAGAATTGTTGTCATCCTTTCATTTGCCTTCTGACTAGACGCAAGCTTTCAAAGTTAATGCATTGATTGTTTTACTTTGTAAGCCAGATTTAACGTACCAGCACTGTTAGTGGGTTAGTCAACAGAGGAGTCTTTGATCTTTAAAGTGGACCCCCTCCTCTCACAGCTCTCCGTTAGCGCAGGCCTGCATGGAAACCATCCTGGTGGGCCTGAAGCCACTGTACTTCCCGTCTTGACTCGGGTACTCGCCCCGGATTCTCCCTATGCAGCAGCTGGGGATGGCAGGGTGGCTGTTGCTGGGTGGGACCCCAAATCTCCAGCTGATGTACTGACTATAGGCGCAGTGACGCAGGGCGGTGTGGCCTGGACCAGCGGGGGCAGACAGAGGGTCCCGGTACAGGAGGACGGCCTCCAGCAGGGAGCGACGCAGCACCAACTGCTGGAACAGAGGAGACGAGGCGATGCAGGCGCCCTCGCTCCGTCTGCAGCACAGCTCCTCCTGGGGGAGGGAGGAGGGGGTGCAGCGGGCACACTTACACCAGGCGGGGGGGCTGGATTTTTGGGCCGGGCCAGGTTTATGGTCAAGGGGAGGCTGATGGTCCTGATCCATGCTGACGCCCGGCAGAAGCAGACAGGCTCCGAGGTGTCTTGTGTCCTCCTGTCAGGAGAAGCACACATCACTGTATCAAATGGTGAGAGTATTTTGGGGGGAGATAAAACAAATACAGGTGCGATGCTGTAAAAGATAAATGTTTAGTTTTGATGATTTTTGAGTTATTGACTAGAAGACTGAAACAAATATTTAACGATAAGCACGATAAAATAATACAATGCGTAATCTAACTTGATAAGAAGCTCTATAAACGTGATTTTCCACCGTGGGTCATAGCAATGGAGCGGGAAGCAATGAGCTTTTATTGTAATTCTAACCTGATTATGTTTCAACCTTGAAAGTTACAAAAAAATGTAACTTTAGCTTGGAGCTAAATATCTATTTTAGGTTTTCATTTCATTTCATTTCATTTCCATCTTTATTTCGAACAGATTTTAAAAAAGAAATAAAAAATAATAAATGTGAAAAACAGAATACCCTATTGTTAGAATACAGTATTTATCAATATTCATAATAAATGTATATATTCAACAAATATATTCATAATAATAATAAATCATATGTGTCCGAAAGGGAGCAGGAGGAAGCAAATGCTTATTAATTCCCACCCCTTACTTACTGCTAATCAATGATTATCCTTTAAATCATTTCTGCAAGTTATTCCTACTCACATCTTTACATTTATACATACATTTACAATAATTTCTCATCTTCAATCACCTCTCTTCATTCTCATAGTTTTTCAAAAAAGTGTTTCTGTACATCCTTTTAAACTGAAGTGTGCTTATGCTTTGTTTTAACTCCTGCGCCAAACCATTCCATAAAATCACCCCACAGATTGCTATACTCATACTTCTCAGAGTTGTTCTGACCTTGAGTTGTTTAAAATGTAGATTTCCTCTCAAATTATACCAATCCTCTCTGTCTACGAACAATGTTTTTAATTTCCTATGTAGTAGATTATGTCTTGCTCTGTACATGATTTGTGCCGTTTTAAATTTAACCAGATTAATGAACTTCAATATGTGTGACTTGAAAAATAATACATTAGTGTGTTCAAGATTATTGATAACTCTTATAGCCCTTTTTTGTAATGTGCATAACGGCTGTAGGTTGGTTTTGTACGTGTTTCCCCAAATCTCCACACAGTAAATCAGAT